GTTACTTACGTCCACGACTACGACTGTCATATGTGCTTTGGCCCTAACTTCGATATATACGCCACACCTAAGGAAAACTTAATTTATTGAGTACTATTTAATATGTTTAAGGCAAATGAATTATACTAATAAAACTTTATACTGTCTACTACTATAAAAAAATTAGAAATATAAAATATTTTTTCTTTGTATTTAACAAAAATAAACTTTTAGGGACTCTTGCATTTTCGACATTCCATAAGGGTGGGATAAATGATATTCATAGGCAAAATATACGCTTTCTAAAAATGACACGTAATGTTTATAAATGAGGCAATAAAATGTCATAAAATAAATTATAAAATGTGTGTAAAAAGTTTATTAAGGGGATGCTGGAGCCGTCTGTATAACCGACAAAATTACCATTTTCTATGTTATCGACTATATCTGTCCTTGTATAGACAAAGATATAGACAAGGATAGCACGCTACATTGCACGCACACATACGCACGATGCACATCGACATTATACTTTTATATTACGCTTCCAAATCTTGATTTGGAGAGTTTATCGATGTTTTTCTTGTTGTGCAATTCGGGGGAACTTGTTTTCGCGTTCGTACCAATGGTATATCTCTTATATGAAATACATCTTGTGACGAGCTGACAGCTCGCCGCAACTCGAGACGCCATATTGGGATAAAAGTAGGATAAGGAAATCTGTACTTCCGTAATTTTTTCTCGTTTTCTATATAAAATCGGAGTTCCCCCGAATCATTAATGTATGTACTGCAATTCTGGAGAAAGATTTTTAATTCTGTCAAATTAATACGACGCTACGTGCCGACAAAAAATGCCGGTAAAACAGACGGCTCCAGCATCCCCTTAAGGAGATCCTGGACAGGGGACAATTACCGACAATTACAGTCAAAGCTCGTTCTTTGAAACGGCTTTATAGATAGCAAAATCCTTTTACAGGAGTGAAGTATAGGTACTAATGAAGAGTGGGATTATAAAAAATTAGTGATAATTAAAAAAAAATGTAAAAATGCTGTCACCTCATAACCTTATTTTCTAATATAAACAGTTGTATAAGTTATATGTACAAAATGAATGTTCCCACTCTTCAGAATACGTGCACAAACAATAACGTACCTTTGAAATTGAGATTGAAAGCCTGGAAGAAAAATTAGAACTTCGAAGAAATCGTACATATTTTCCACAAAAATATACACGCAGGCTAGTAAGCAGAGATGGCGCAGCAATCGAACAAAGACAGATGTCATTTTGTTAGACAAAGACAGATATAGGAAAAACAAAATTAGAAATGTTGACATTATCGACATCGAAGAAGTTCGGCCGTCAGTCCCGCATCCCCTGGGATCCTAAAGCCGTCTGTATTACCAACCGAATTCTATATCTGTCCTTGTATAGACAATGATGATAGACAAGGATAGACATCCCAGTAAACGCAAAAGGATTAATAAAAGATATCAAAATTTTTTAATACCTTTGAATCCCTTTTTTGGCGAAATTAGATAAAATTAGATGGGATTCGAAATGAGATGGTCCAATCCCATGAAATCCAAAAAAGAAATTTTCAATTCAATCCAATCCTATGGAATCTGTAAAGGTTATGGAATTGCATGGCATTAGATGGTTTAGGAAACGTCTCGCGCCTCCGTTGGGCGACCAAGCGCCGTTGTTCGTCGGTGAGCTTTTGTGTATGCCTAAGGGCATTACACGCACTACTGCCGACGGGCAATTAGCCCGAAAATGAGATTTGTAAGATCTGTCAGGCACCGTAGTAGCCCGAGAGCTGGCGTTAAAAAACTGCAAGAGTTTTGTAATGGCTGATTTTTTCACATAACGTTATATTGCGGGTGTACATGAGTCAGCACCCACTCGCAAGGTCAGGTACTGGGACACCTGGCGCCGGCGCGCTTTGAAATAGGTCAAATTATTAAGTGCGATAAAAGTGTTTTGTAATGGCTCAAATTTTGTGAGAAACTAATAAATAATATAAAAACCGTTAGAAAGTGGTCAGACCGCACAGTTATGGGACGCAGCGAGTCAGCACCTCTCATAAGTGGTCACAATAATTAGGTCAGTAAAACTGTTTCGAAATAGCTGAAAATTTAGAAACTATTAAATTATTGCGTATAATGAAGGAAGAAAACGGTCAGACTTCAGTTTAATGGGACTGACGTAGTCAGCAGTCGTTTGAAGTGCGAAGATCAAGCGCGCGCGGCTGCTCCAAGCGCGTAGTGATTTGCTTATAATTAAATTCCATTTGTATTTAATAAAATGATTGAAAGATTTTCAACTAAATCATGATTGAAATTGTTATTTTTTACGTTATTTAATTAATTAATTAATTAAAAATTTTATTATAATATAAATAAACTTAAAATCAAATTGTAAATTACAAAACTACAAATAAAAAAAACAAAAAATTAAAAAAAATTTTTATAAAAAGTATATTTATTTACAGATACTGAGTCTAAGCAGGTAGACGACACTGAAGAAGCTGATTTCGAGAGTGATGAGCAATCAGATGAAGAAAATAACAGCGACATTGATTATTAATTGTTTATTTGAAAAAAGTGTATTATGTCATACTTTAATTATACTTTTTATAAA